AACTGAGAGATGCTAGGCTTTATTCGTTCTGCAATTCACGCGCACACATACACTCGTTCGCACTGCTCATAAAAACAAAATGCTGCTTTGCGCGGGCTGCTCGTGTTGTTTTCAACCTTTTTTTGCACTATGAGAAAGTAACAGTTGCACGCTATGGTGCATGATAAATCGCTTTGTCTTTACGTGAACACATCTCCAGTCAAGATGTCTGATTATTCAACGGTCTTCTATACGGTCAAAGTATAGAATAATAACCATACTCATCCCTTTAATAAATAAATTAACTTTAAAAATTGAATTATAAGTAAGTACACGCTTTTTCATTGATGTACAAAACAATATTGTACTTATAAGACGAAAAATGTCTCAAAAGGAGTATAATGAGAAATACAAGTTTTATATCCATAACATAGTTTTTATCGGTTGTACTAGTGATCAAATCTGAATAAACATCAGCCATTTTTGGAACTAATGCAAGTTAAGTATATTTCTCATGAGATCTTTCCTAATTTGTTCTAAAATAAACACAAATAACCGAAAAATAATGTTATACGTTTTGTGTTTTAAAAATGTCAGTATTATCTATATTTAGTAATTGAATTGTACAATAGCTGAATATGAAAAACTGCTTTCAATTTAAAAAAGAGGGATTGTATTGATGTATGGTTGATATGTAGTAAATGATGAAAACGAGATCTAGGTAGATCTTGCATAATTTCGATCCAATATTACCACTCAACATGTGTTTAAAAGTAGAACTTTACTATAAAATAGCCTTAAAGAACCTATTTATTCCATTCGTTCTTTGAACTTTAATTAATTAAACTTATGTTTTTTATATGCCGATTTGAAAGCAGTAGCGTGAAAAGTTTCATAGCTTGATACAGTATTGGTCATAAATATTCATACATCTTCTAAATAATATTTTTTGTGATACTAGCTTCTGGGCGACATGATCTGCCTTTCATCAAAATGTTACAAATTTCTTTAATATATTTGTCCAAGAAATAAACATCGCTCTTTGTATCAGAACTGCAAAATTAAAATCGTAACTTCGAATCGGTCGACAGCAGGCATGGACCGATGTATACCGATTGCACGTCCTTGTTCTTTTCAAAAACAGCTTTTCGTAATGCAAAATAATCTAGAATTTATTTTAACCACTGGTTTCTGTACAGCAAACATTTCTCTCTACCAAATGAGGTATGACAGTACTGTTTGTTGCAACTTAAATTGCATCTTAGATTAGTCGAAACTAACCAGACAACTCTTTCTCAAGATCTAAAACGATTATTTTCCGTTGCTAGGCTGTTGCCACGCAAGTGTAAAGAAAATGTACGTCCAAGCTTTATCACTTTTTTCTAAGAAAACGTGGAATAAGATGCTTGTCTGTACAGGCAAGGTGCAGGATTCTTGTCTATGGGAGCACAAGTTTCTCGACTAGTGGAGACTTGTTTTTCACCCCGGCGTTGTCTAGCAAATTTTTTTTCTTTCTATACCGTGTTTTCTCTTCCCAGTGAGCCACTCGTCCTCGATTATCTCTGGTCATACACATTTGGAGAAAAGTGGATTTGAAAATAAATGAGCTGTGGATAACACATCTGAAATTAGCTTTTAGATATTTGCCTAGTGCCACAAAATGAGTATATTTTTGAGACAATTCTGTCTTGTTTCCTGTGAGATAATTAATGGTCACGTGATATTCTTTTATAGTGAATATATACTACAGTGCTTGATATACTCATTATTTTAGAGATTTTGATGAAAGCTATAGTAGAATATATGACATGATAATCATCAGTAATGTACATTCTCCTTGAGACATAGTGAGACATACTGTGACTTTCTGAATGTTCTAATTTTGTCTGTTTACTGTTTCACTCAGTTGACTTTCCAATCTTCCCCACAGGGCAGTTAGCTCTCTAGTCATCTCATGCTTTTGTTTCTCGGATCAGCCACTCGTTCTCAGCTATTGGTTATCGTAGAGATTTGGGACAAAAGATCAATAGAAAAGCTAAGAGCTGAAGATGGCGCATCTGAAATTAGTTTTTCGATATATCTTTTAATTAACGTACTATATGAGCCCCAAAACCTGAGCGTATTTTCTAGGACCCTACCGTTTTTTCTATGCAATAATTAATGATCACGTGACACCTCATATATATTCAGTATGAACACTGTACAGTGACTTATTAAGTAATCACGTGCTACTTATCAGTCTATACTTCTGTATAGTTTGATGCATTTATAGTGTGAAACATTACCGATAGAATGCATCAAAATGTTTAGTACTAGGGGACAGTAATGTTCTAACCATATGTAAGAGATTCAAAAAGATGTCTAGCGTCTCTAGCAAAACGTTTCACTAGATCGACATTCCAATCTACCCGCAGAGTAGTTGACATCTATCGCTTTAAAACTTTCAAGAATCCAGTAGAAGATAAAATGTGATCTGGACTCTGAAAGTAGGCACTTTAGACCACATAACAATACATTATTTTGATTTCTGAAGAAAATTGTAATTTCTAACTAGGGGACTCTTTGTGCACATCTAAATTCGCATAATACAAGTTTTGTCACAGTAAAGAGAATTTTCTGAATAGCTCTTTCGAAAATTTAGTGGTTGTGTTTTTCTACAGTAGATAATTTCCTTAATACATTTCTTCTCAGTGGTTTATAAACGTTCTCACACACAATTGATTCATGTCTGTTGAGCTTGATATTACTCATCATCGGAGAAATGTTATATCAAATATTCTTCATTGGCGTTTAGGAAGGTCATTGTAAGGTTTGAGAAAGATTTTAAGTACTCTTCCTACTTCAATAATAAATAACTCTTTATTCAGACGTTTCGGCAGACATCAGCCTGCCTTCTTCAGTGCAGATTTTTAAAGGACAAAATGACAACAAACTGAATTAACTGTATATAGTCCTTTTTCTCTTTCTATCTTTCTTTCTAATATTGGTACGGAGGAAGAAGATGACGAATAGTTATCCTATCCAGTTTTACCGTTTTGTTTCCATACCAGTATTAGAAAGATAGAAAGAAAAAGAAAAAGGACTATAGTTAATTTAGTTTCTTGTCATTTTGTCCTTTAAAAATCTGCACTGAAGAAGGTAGGCTGATGTCTGCCGAAACGTCTGAATAAAGAGTTATTCATTATTGAAGTAGGAAGTACTTAAAATCTTTCTCAAACATCAAATACTCTTCTTATACATACTAAAACTAGAGTCAATCAAGCAGCTGAACATCTAAGTATAACATTTTATGTTCTGACAATTAACAGTGTTATTGTTCACACAAAAACAATAGATAAGACTGATCAGAATCCGGTAAAGGTGTATATCATAGCCTAAATGCTCATATGACACTTATTTTTCTCATCATGTCAGTCGTCAGTTTCCTTATATCCATAAAAATAAATATATAAGAGAATTTTTTGAATAGCTCTTTCGAAAATTTAGTGGTTGTGTTTTTCTACAGTAGATAATTTCCTTGATACATTTCTTCTCAGTAGTTTATAAACGTTCTCACACACAATTGGTTCATGTCTGTTGAGCTTGATATTACTCATCATCGGAGAAATGTTATATCAAATATTATTCTTATAAATACTAAAACTAGAGTCGATCAAGCAACTGAACATCAGTTTTATTTATCCATCTAAATATAACATTTTATGTTCTGACAATTAACAGTGTTATTGTTCACATAAAAACAACGGATAAGACTGATCAGAATCCGGTAAAGGTGTATATCATAGCCTAAATGCTCATATGACACTTATTTTTCTCATCATGTCAGTCATCAGTTTTCTTATATCCACAAAAATAAATATATAAGAGAATTTTTTGAATAGCTCTTTTGAAAATTTAGTGATTGTATTTTTCTACAGTAGATAATTTCCTTGATACATTTCTCCTCAGTGGTTTATAAATGTTCTCACACACAATTGGTTCATGTCTGTTGAGCTTGATATTACTCATCATCGGAGAAATGTTATATCAAATATTCTTCGTTTTAAAATTAATGTTCGCCTTCCTATATTCATTCATAATATGTTTCTCTCTTTCGTGTATTTGATTTTTATAAAGACAGAAATATGATGGACAATTAGAATACGAACAAGAACAAAAAGAGAAAAACTAATATGGATAATTTTGTCTTAACCTTATAGCATCACAATGTGAAAACGTATAAAAAAACTATTTTTCTCATTTGAATGTTCAGTGTTAATAGATGAAAAAAGAAAGAACAAACAGACAAAAAACGAGTCAAACAATTATAAAAAGAAGAAAAAGAAACAAACAATATGCTTAACATTGTTTATTTTTCAAACAGCAAATACCTAGAAAAAAACCACAGTGTGCGCTCCGGTCTGCTCCTCTTCACTTCACCAGGTTCAAAGAATCAAACAAAAAACAGAGAACTGCTTTGCATATAACAAAAAGAAACAACAATAACAACAGGGTGCACGCAAGTTCCCATACAAAATGCAAAAAAGAAAACCGAATAAAACAACAACTGCTCAATAATAAAGCAGTTCTTACTCATACTAAACTGTTCTATGGGATCATTGTTCATTACTGCTACTTTTAGGATGGTGACGATTTATTTTTGAAGAAGAAACATGTGGAGAGACCTCAAGAAAGGTACTAAAAAAGAGGACAGAAAGCAGCACACAACACGCACATAGACAAAAGGAAATGTGTTTTTTTAATAAACAAAGTGATTGAAACAGCTTCTTCGTCGTACAAAAGACAGAACAAATTCATGTGTAGTCGAATTTGTCTAAAAAAAGTGTAGATACGGAAAAACAGAGAGAGAGAGAGAAGAGAGAGTAGTTTTACCAGTGGAGAATTTTTTTAGAAAAAGAACTAAACAAACAGACGAGTGTTACAACACAATTTTGCTCTCTATTATTTGAAAGAAACCAATGAAAAAAAAAATGGATTGTTAATTACGTGTCTTATGCTATCATAATTGATGAGTAAACTTTTTAAGTTGATTTTAACGTTGGAAAATCTTCTTCGTTCGTTGTAAAATTACGACTGTCATTTCCACGTCCTTCCCGCGATCCTTGCTGGCCTGAACCACGAAAGCCACCACCACGAGGGCCATAGCCACGCTGTGGTTGACCATAATCATCACGTTGACGTTCTGGAAAAAAAGAATCAAAGAGTAAGATCATACTATACCGAATACTATTAAAAACGTTTGCAACATCCTGTGTGCTTATCATGTCTTAACTCTGTCTTTCTCGAAGGAACCCACCTAACGAGAGCCTTGAGAAAGGTCGAAACTGGTCGCGTAATCTTGGTACGCACTACAAGGTGCACTACAAGGACGCACTACAAAGTGGTTGTAAAATTAACTAAATATAATCCTGTATGTTTTTCAAACATATTGCTTTTTGTATCCTAATAAAGCCATTGTTAAATAAGTTAGGTTATAATCTTTAAGAGTCTTGACTGTATTAAATAAATAAAGTTCCCTCTGTATAAGCATTTAAACTAATAAAACTCATATATTTCACTAATTTCAAAAGACCTCTACAACCTCTACATATTTTGTTTTCTTACTTTGATAACTGTCATTTCCACGATGACCTCTGCCACCTCTTTGATACGATGAGTCGCCTTCATTACGATATTGTTGTCGTTGTTCATCACTACCCGTTTGTTGAGATGGTTCACCTACATTTTCATCTTGTAGTTGCGAATAGTTTCTTCTTTGATTATTATCACGGTAACCGCCATGACCACCTTCTGATCGTCGTTCACCACCTCTTCTATCACCGAATGGTCGACGAGGACTTCCACGCATTATTGGTTCTACAAAAAAGCAAAGTTAAGCTGAATGCCAACAATTCTACTTTGTCTAGAACATACCATAAAATTTGATTTGAATTTGTGGAGCCTTCTTTTCTTCATGTGTTTTTTGCTCGCTTTCTTCTTCCTGCTCTTCTTCTTCGCCTTCCTCTTCTTCTTCTATTTCTTCGCCATCATCATCCTCATTTTCTTCCTCACCTAACTCTTTTTTTCCTACAATATTCGAAATGAAACGGATAAGTTAATCCTGATGATTAAAAATAGACTGAGTGAAAAAATAGCTTACTATATATTTTGCCCGGTTGTTGCCATACTTTTGGATCTTCTCCTTCACCAGCTTGGCGAATATTAAAGTGTTGTTGCGCAGCATTATGTTGTTTCTTTTTCAATTCTTGTTGTTTTTTATATTCATCCAGTGTCATTTGCTCAGCTTCACGTTGCTGTTCCTCTTGATCAACTTGTTCAGACCAATCAGCTTTTTTTGTTGGTGTACGAGATGCATCGGCTGTTTCACTAAACAAATAAAACAAACCATCTACCATACATACATTGTTATACAAGGAAAATTACAACATATAAGCGTACACTTACTCAGTAACTTCTTGGTCATCACCAGTTTGATCTTCCTGTTTACCCCAATTATGAGCACCACCACCTTCTCGTTTTTCTAGTGGTTTCACGCCGCTAAAAAAAACAATCAATTATGATTAAAAGAAATCAAACAAATTTTTACAGGAAAAACTACCAATTCTCAAATAAATGCAATATCACATACAATCAGATAATAGTGTCGAGTTATCCTACACGTTCCTCATAAGTCGCATGCTCACAACACATTGTAGAATTAAAAGTGATGTACAAAGACAAGTGACTTGAAATCTCTTACACTTCGTTTCGTGGCCGACGATCGTATCGCGGTTGACGGTAATTATTATTCGATTCGTCACCTTCACTCGACTTTTCAAAATAACCACCTCCACCACCACCCATCTCTGTCTAAAAAATCAGGAAGAAACATGTTAGTGGTGCAAAGTATATAAACATGAAAAAACATTAACTATGCTTTCTGGAACAAATTTTTATAAGATGTTTGTAAAAAGTTTATACTATTAATTCACATAATGATTTCTAATTCTGAGACTAAATATATGAGAAGACAACTCGTTAATTCGAAAAGTTGTTCACCCAGATTTATTCTCCATACGAGAGATCTCACTCTTAATATTCTAATCATTCCTTTCATAACGACAACATTTCAGATGTTCTACTTACATTTCTTATTACCCTATTTCCACGGTAATTTTGACCTCTTCCACGATAATTACCTCGACCACGTCGTTGAAAACCTGAAATAAAGATTTTCAGTAATATCCATCTAAACTTCTGAACCGTTCACATACCTCCATCATTTTCAAATGATTTTTCCTGGCCAGCTTCTTCACCTTCACCACCTGGTGGACGTTCTGTTTCAAAATTACCTCTAAACGAAGCATCTAATCATTAAATATTCTAAGCTTGTATATCAACAATGTCACTTACCCTTCAAAACCGCTTTCTTGCTGTTGTGGCTGTTGTTGCTGATCATCATCGTGATGATATCTATAATTTCCTCTGCCACGACCTCTGCCTCGGCCTTCAAAATTTCCTCTTCCTTCAAAATTGCCTCGTCCTTCAAAACTGCCTCTGCCTTCATAATTTCCGCGACCTAAGTAAAAAACATAATTTTTCAATGTATTATATTATAATGAGAAATAAATTATTTTATGTGCATGTTTTTGAAGTGAGATTCTCTTCTTCACTCAGAACATGGTTCATAAATATATTTCATATATTTACGCAAAGTACAGTGTTCACATTTTTGAAAGGAATAAATCTAAGCTAAATTCGAGCCTTGTTTTTGAGAGAAATATCGAAAGAAAAGATTAGAAGTCTGGATGAGACAACTTTTGCTAATGAACAAGCAAAAGCTGGTTGACCTAGCCACACGTTTGATTAGTGGGTTAAAATCCGATGCCTACCTCGTCCTTCAAAATTACCACGGCCACGCCCGCGACCCCGTCCTCGAAATTCGCCTCTTCCACCACCGCCAAAATTATCGCGCGGTTGTTGTTGATCATTATTTTGTGTTTCGCTTTCTGTCCATTGAGCATCATTACCAGCAAAACCGCTAGCATCGACGCCCTGTTGTTGTGGTCCTTGAAACTGATTATTATTATCACGATTATTAAATCTTACATATCGTTGACCACCTCCTCGTTGAAAATTTCCTTCATTTTGATGATATTCTCGTGGTTCATAAGGCGGACGGTCGTTACCACCGCGTCTCGGTCCGGGTCTGCGACCTTTAAGAATAGAAAAATAAAACATCAATGAAAAATCAAGATTGATAAGAGAAAAAAAAGCAGGCATACCACGTTCACTTTGTTGTCCACTTTGAGGTCGTCGTTGTTGATCGATGCTGCCACCTTCGCGTTGTTGTGATTGCTGTTTATTGTTAATATCACTAAATACCGGTTTGGCAGCTGTTATTTTTTTAGAATCGGTACTTTTTCCACTAACATTTTCTTTGCCCACAGAGCCGGTTGTGGTTGTACTAGACGTTGTTGTTGTACCTTTACCAGTTGTTATCGTGGTAGATTTTGTCGTCGTTGAAGTTGTACTTTTTTTAGTTGCTGATGGTTTTGCATCTTTTGTTTTCTTGTTTTCTTTTTCACTAGCTGTCGCCTGTTTTGATATAAATACTTCGGGATCCTCATCATGATCAACAAAACTAAGAAAACGATTCTGTGTGTTACAACCGTATTCGTGTTCTAGCACCATTTTTCTTATTTGTCTTGGATTTATACTTTTGAACGAACAACGATTAACTAATAATTAAGTAAGACTTTGTGTGGAATGAGAGATATCATCTAAAATACAACAAAAAAACAGACAATCAGATAATAGAAAGACGTAGATCGGATTAATAGCGGGTATGTAGATAGACGTAGGAAAGATTCTAATTTATTAGGGAAGCTTTTGAAATATGACATTTACAATACAAATCGAACAGTATTGAAACAAAGTATTCGAAGCGTAGAATAATTCATTCTTTTTACTATGCAGTACGAAACAATTTAATGAGAGCGTTTCACACTCTAACGAAAGATTTAAGTACTTATGAGCATCTGTTATAGATACTAAAACTAGAGTCAATCAAGCAACTGAACATCTAAGTATAACATTTTATGTTCTGACAATTAACAGTGTTATTGTTCACACAAAAACAATAGATAAGACTGATCAGAATCCGGTAAAGGTGTATATCATAGCCTAAATGCTCATATGACACTTATTTTTCTCATCATATCAGTCGTCAGTTTTCTTATTTTCATAAAAATAAATTTTTTTATGAATAACGAATCAATTTTCGTCCAAGCAATGAGTTTACTGAAGTCAAATCGAAAAAGAAAAGGAAAAAATTATAAGTATACATACTTTTAGCTTAATAGCAATAATTTTTGGTTTATTACCAATTAATTTGTTTTTGATTATTCTATTTTGTTTGTTTTTTGTTAGCTATTATGACAACTGACGATCATATTGTTAATTCCAAATGAACACAAAAACTGTAATAAATATTGATTAATAGTAATCAATCTTTCTTTGTTTCAGATTTTATGTGAGTTTTTTTCATGCGACGAAAAAAAATGAGAAACAAAATTGATAGAATACAAACACGTACAAATATAGGGTGTGTATGTGTAGAATGTCTTTCTTACGTAGACCTGACCGTGCGTATGACGAAAAATATAGCAACTGATATCGGAAAGAATTTTGCTGTAAACTGATGCTAAGTTGACTCATCATTAAAGAGGCTGAAGGGCATAATGGAATGTTAAAAGTATAATTTTGTGTCTGGTTTCAGTTTATTTTTATAAATAATTTCTATTATATTCCTTAGAAGAAGAAAAAAGGTTCAGCTTTAAGCTAGAATGAAGTCTTTTTTTGACACATCAATGCACTAAAAAATGTCTTTAAGAAAATTTCTAAACTAGCTTCTTGAAAACTCTTTCGGCCCATCAGAAAACTAATAGATATTGATAATTCAGCCTTCAGCTGATTGAGTTCTTGCTAAGAAAAAGGAAAATGGCTACTCTCAAAAAGTAAAATTAAAATACTAACTAAAAACAATGAATAAACAGAACAAACAAAATGGTGATGCTTATATGAACATAAAATCGTTCAAAATTGGTTAAAGATCTACTTCTACCTCTCTAATTGATTGCTCTAAGATGACGGAAGAAATCATGCAGAGAGAGTCATTTTTCTTTTTGCTGTCCAATAAGTGTAAATAATTTATGACGTCTTTTTTAGATTATGTCCTAGCGTTTCGCCTGTGTCATCAATCAATCTAATCGTTTTCTCTTCCTTTGTCATGGTCAGAAAAAAAATGTCTAATTCCCAACATTTGCATCAACTTCATTCATTCTTAGAAATCCTGAACAGCTGATATCAATTAAGGTGTGAGCTTGACTTTATATTTCTTTAGAATATAATTTATTGTTTGATTTTCTGATAGTGGTTAAAATGTCATTTGTGAAATCCAGTAATCAAACGCCACCACGTACATCACAGTATGTTGGACCATATTTATTACAAAAAACATTAGGAAAAGGACAGACTGGTAAGAGATTCTTAATTTTTGATAAAAGAGAGTTTGTTATTGTTTATTAACCATAATATTAGGGCTTGTGAAATTGGGTATACATTACTTGACAAACGAAAAAGTAGCAATCAAAATAGTGAATCGAGAAGCTCTGTCAGAATCAGTTCTTATGAAGGTAAATAGAAATGTTTATTCTATTTGGCAAAGAAAATTGTGTTATATTTTCTTTTCTCTAGGTTGAGCGTGAAATAGCAATTATGAAATTGATTGAACATCCACATGTATTAAGATTATACGATGTTTATGAAAGCCGAAAGTATTTGTATGTACAAAAAGATTTTAGACAATCTGTCAGCAAAGAAAAGTTGAATTTCTTTTGAGAAAAAATTGAATTTTTTTTTTTAATCTGTTTTTTGCTAGATATTTAATATTAGAACATGTTGCTGGTGGAGAATTATTTGATTATCTTGTTAAAAAAGGACGATTAACACCAAAAGAAGCAAGAAAATTTTTTCGACAAATAATATCAGCACTCGATTTTTGTCATAGTCACATGATATGGTACGTTGTTCAATTTGAATTGTTTATATTTGCATGGAATAGCAAACAAAATCAAGCACTGTTAAGTTTTAAAATAGCTAAGCACTCCCGTTGTAATCTGCTGCTGCTTAGTGCAACTCTATTTAAGAGAAGCGCCGTCGGCAGGTATGCTTAACAATGTTGGATTGCGCATAGATTATGTATTCTTGACTTCAGACAGCGATTTTGAGGAGAGAAAAATTCCTTCCTTATTTAAAAAAATATTCAGAAAAAGAGCTGTATGAACATATTTGCTCATCTGGATAACACTTAAAAAACTTAGTTTTTATGTTGAGCTAAACAGTGGTACTGAGAAACTGACATTTTAGTAAGTGTATCTCTATGTAATATAGCTTATCTTTATTTAGTTGAATAGCTGCGTTTCTTTGCTCTAACTGAGTAACTCGCTTTTAGAGCAAAGTGTAATTAAATCTTTTGAGTAATGTTGCATAGGAAATAAAATAGTTTATATGTAAAGACTAACGATGTACTATACGCTTATTTATCGATAAAATACAGTTACTCACAAAAAAAAGTGTTGTTACTCAGTAAAACTTATTCCGTTTTAAAGATCTGTGTTGAAAACGTTAATTTTAGATATGCCTATTTAATTCTTATCTTTATTTAGTCATCGCGATTTGAAGCCAGAAAATCTTTTATTAGATGATAAAATGAATATACGTGTAGCTGATTTTGGTATGGCATCATTACAAGTTGAAGGTTCATTTTTAGAAACAAGTTGTGGTTCTCCTCATTACGGTAAGTGACTTTTGTTCACTAGAAAAATCAACAGCTGTTATTCATACTGACCAGTGTAATTTATAATTTATAAAATTTGTTTCATGCTTTATTTTTTTTTTTTATTTTGTCCGGTAATATTTTAACAGCTTGTCCAGAAGTAATTAAGGTAACATTTATACTTAAATTATAATTTGTCATCTATTTAAGTTGAAGGTGTTTGTACTTTCTCTTCGCTCTGATATGGTCCACATTTTCTTGTGAGAACAAAATAGTATTCGACATCAAGCAGAAAAGAGAACTGATGCTCATTTTCATGTTCGCATAGTCTTCATTCAACGTAGAAACCTTTTTAAATAAATAAACAAATAGATTACATTTTCAATAAAATTCAATTGCTATTACATTTACTTCAGTTGTTTGGCATCATTGTTTTGTACAATTTCTATTCATATTTTGGATTTTTCTATCTAGGGAGAAAAATACGATGGAAGAAAAGCCGATGTTTGGTCGTGTGGCGTTATCCTCTACGCACTTTTAGTGGTAAGAATGAAATGTTTATTTCACTAAATAGAAATGACTTTTGTTCATATTTTTCTCTGTACTTTAATAGGGTGCATTGCCATTTGACGATGATAATCTTCGTCAATTGTTAGAAAAAGTGAAAAAAGGCGTTTTTCATATTCCACATTTTGTTCCACCTGATTGTCAACAACTTTTACGAGGAATGATTGAAATCGATCCAAATAAACGTTTAACGGTAAGTAATTGAAATCGAATTCTTTTTGGTAATCTTAAAGATAAAAATAAAATAGGAGAAATACTTAATAGAGAGAAGCTATTTTGCTCTAGGGCACTTACTTCAGCAAAACAAACAACAACTTAATCGCGTTAATTTGCCTGTAACATCTCTCTTATTACAGTCGCTTTGGTCTAACAGCCTGATTACTGCTGCTAAAAATGAGAAACAATTTGCTAATTTATTTTTTATCTTTCGTTTTTTCATTCTTATTATTCTCTTCTACTAATATGACATTTTTCCAGCTTGAAGAGGTTTCAAAACACAACTGGGTTACACAGTACGTAACGAATTGTGAAAATAATAATAATAATAATAATAATCATAGTAATCATCAGAATAATAATAATGTTGTTCGATGTCAACAAAAAATAATAGTACCGAGAAAAACTATTAATAACAACAATACAAATGTGTCATCGTCGTCATCAACGTCATCGTCAGTGTTTGTCATTGTGTTTCTTCTTATGTTTGTAGCTTTTTTTGTTGTTCGCTCTCAACTAGATGATTTTCAAACGAAACAAAAAAAAACAAAAAAAAACGACATGTTTCAAGATTAACATAAGTAAATTTTATTTACTATTGTTATTATTGAAACAAACGGGTTGATTTTTCTAAACAACAAAAAAAGATAAGAAAGCATGAAAGATAGTCAATATGTTGTTCTGTTTGTTTTTTAAAACATATATAGATACAACAAACAGCGCACGACTAAAAAAGAAAATCAATTGCATCACAGGTAGTCTGGTGTATGATGTTTTTATGCTCTAATATTCTCAATCAAAAAACATGGGCTCGTAGCGATAAGGGTGATAATTGCATGAAAATTAAGTCTGTTAAGATCGTTTCTGCTAATGTATATCAGGATGCATGTTGTATCTTTCTTGATCATGTGATTTTATGTTATTCAAAGCATGTTTCTATTGTTGTTCTGTTATGTGAAAACAATGGGACAGAAATTGTTTCATCAATAATTTTTTTTGATGAACATATTAAATATTACTTATTTTGTGTTTATGCATGTGTCGGTTTAATGTTGTACTCTAAAAATCTAAAACATTTTCTATGTACTTTTTTATGACATTGTTTGGTTCATTTTTCTATGTTTTTCTAATTATAGAGGCACAAAAGCTGAACTTGAACTAGAATTACCGATGGTTCAAGTAGTTCAAGTGAGCAATAATAGATTATAATTACTGTAGCCGTAAATGAAACAAGAAATTCGATATCTCTTTAGACCACAATAATTCCAAAAGAAGAAGATATTGATCCAGATGTGTTTGGAGCAATGACGTCATTAGGTTGTTTCAAAGATCGGCAACGTTTAATTGAATCATTATTAAATTCGAAGTATGTTCATAATAATTACTGCTTTGTTATTCATATATTCACATATTTTAATTTTAGGCATAACACAGAAAAAGTGATTTATTTCTTATTACTTGATCGAAAATTAAGACAGCCAAGTATGGACGATACCGAAGATATTAAATCACGAAGTCGTTCAGCTTCACGTAAGAAAAATTTTAACATAGTAGTTTGTCATTTTTGCAAATAAAGTGATTTTATTTTTAAATAGTCAAAAATAGATCTATTATTTCTCACTACATACGGCATTGTGAGTATAGATGATAATAACCGTGTTTTCATTCCTTCTTCCAGATAGAATAGTATCAGTTAGAAAGAGTCTGTCCATTTTGCATGTTCATTTTTCGTTTGTTTTCATTTTTAAAATTAAATGAAAATTATTTATTATTCTTTTAAAGCTGATATACCACACAAGCGTGTTGATCGTCATCGATTTAATGGTGGTAATTCAAGTATTAGTTCAAATATTCGTCCAAATATTGGTCAGTTAGCAGAAGGATCACCATTGGTACCCAGACGACAATTACATTCCAGCATGTAAGTTCATAAAGAAGAAGATTTTGTGGTTACTTCTCGTCACGAATTTCATCCCAATAGAAAAGAAAGTTTCGCAATTGGACATTTTGAATGAGTGAGATTCAGAGGTGGGCAAGTTCAAGTCTGAACTTGAAGTTTTTTTGACCTGAGGATTTTTTTATCAAGTCCGTTTGAAGTCCAAGCAGTTAAAACCCGTCGTATATCATTAAGACCTACTGCATAATGCAGAAACCCCTGTGAACTTGGACGTGAATTTGCACTTGTACTTGACAAAAAAATTCTGTAAGTTCGAAGGATAGATCTCAAGTTACAGCCTACCTTTATTTTTAGTTTTTCGAGTCTTATTTTTATATAGTGACCTTTATTTTTAGTTTTTCGACCTTTATTTTTAGTTTTTCGAAAATAGACTATAACACAAAAGCGTATTGGTGGAATTGAGAGACTTGGTTTTCTAGGGTTTGGGTTTATAAAGAATTTTGAATACGCACCACACCAGATTGGAAGGAAGAAGAAGAACACCCCGCCTTGCGACTTCCGTTACTGGTAGAGAGTACGTATAACGAACCTATTTGATACGTATTATATCGAATTTGTGGCTGTTTGTTTTGTTTTTCTTGCGAACGAACATAAATAGAAGGATATTTATAATAACAAAAAGCCCGCTACTATTATTATACGATTTTCGTACGATCTTACAAGGGAAGCTTACCAAGTGTCGCGCGGTTTTTTCAATAGCGCATACCCTATCTTGGAAGAAGGAAGAATACCCCACCTTGCGGCTACCGTTTCTGGTATAGGGTGCTGCCGCATGGCATTTTCAACAGCCCGATATCTTCCCATCAGCTGACAAGCTTCCGACATGGTCACCCATCTCGTTACTACTATCTTTTTCAAATTATAAGAGCCGTGGCTATCTTTTGAGTAACTTTTGACAGAAAGCTGCTAGACAGCTTCGCTTTTCGTACGAAAGAAGAGACTTTGGGACGTGTTTCCGCTAGCAAAAGAGTTTTCTGAAACAGGTTCTCTAGGAGATCTTTGAAAAACCAGAGTGTGAGTAAACGTTTTTAAATAAGATTGTATTGATCCTTTTCCATGGGGCTGGTAGCCCTTGGACTCTTCGTCAAAGCGGGAGTCAAGCGAGACCTTGATTTTCCGCGGTTCGGGTGTTTTATCGGAATTGCTACGAGCTTCAGGACTGGCACCTGGCGACTATTTTTAGCCTCGAAAACTGATGGATAGGTAATCGATCAAACTGACTCTCGTGGTAATATTTATTTTTAGAAAAAGTTTTAAAAATCTAGCGAAAAGCGAGTTTAACGAAATCAGGGTTTTCAGGCTGTTTTCACCTAATATTAAAAACTCGGCTATTCACTCGAAAAACATCACAACGAGTTCAAAGCTTCATAATGTAGAGTATTCAGGCTCGTATGGATCGTGTTTATAGGAGATCTATAAAGAGATTTTATAAAACTCTAAGCTTTTCCCGAAAGGGTTTCTAGAAAATCCATTAAGAAAAATATGCTTTTTCGATTTTTCGGACTGATAATCATGTTTAGCTGACAAAATTAACTATATCCTATAGTTTTGAACTCGTTGTGATGTTTTTTGAGTGAATAGCCGAGTTTTTAATATTAGGTGAAAACAGCCTGAAA